TTTTTTTTTTTTTTTTTTTTTTTTTTTTTTTTTTTTTTGACTATGTTTAGTGTTTGTTTTCCCTTTTTTGCTATTTTACTGCTATTTTGCTATTTTACTGTTATTTTAGTATTTTAGTATTTTACAGTTTACTATTTTGCTATTTTACTATTTTACCTACGCTACCAGCCGGGTCACCCGGGTCATGTTGTTTTCCCGGGCGGCCCAGCTGTGCAAGAACCAGGGAAAGTCCCACCAAAAAAAGCAAGAAATTCCAAGAAAAAATTATCCATGTTATGCAGAAAAATAAACTGAACAACTTTTGCCTCAGGGTCACATCAAAATTCTTTACCAATTCAGCCTCCTAACGAGTCGGTGGAACTCCGATGAAACAGTTTGTCACAGCCCCTCATTTCTTGTCCTCTTCTTCCTCACTGCCTACGGTTTACCGGGCAACTCTGTTTTACGATATTATATATTTTTCTCCCTCTGCCTATAGATTTTCCTTTTCTGCTCCTCTCTTCCTTGTGTTTGACACCTCTTCCTTCACTCTGCCTCTTTCCCATCGCGTACAAGTGGGCTGTTAGGGCATACGGGAATGGGGGCAGCTCGCGCTCAACTTCATCAACATGGCGGGCCGTGGAGGAGTTAAGAAGACCGAGAAATTGAACGATTTCAATGTGTCTTTGTTTTTTATTTTTATCCTTTGTTCAGTGTAAAAACATTTTGTAAAACACTGAAAGAAATAAGAATACAGTGAAACAAAGAGGAAGAGGAGTCGAGGACACTGTTTTGTGTCATTCTAGTTTGTCTGTCTCTTTGCCTGTCTGTCGCCCTTCACTCAGTGCACAAGGCTTTGAGACACCTTCAACAACACTTTGCTATTCTTCCTGTCGACAAGACCTCACATAACTTGGCAATCTGTTGTAAAAATTGGTACCTGTCTCATCTATCTGCTCATTTGGACAGCCCTACCTATGTTGTGCCTGTTGACTCCGTTGCAGATATTCTCGAACATCAGGCGCTCTGGAATCATCGGTGGGGATATACACACAAAGACACGCTGCCATATCTGTAGTATGCACTTAAAGCGCACAAATCGCCCCCTGGGCTTCGCATCATAGAGCGGAATAATCTCTCCCTACCACAGTGACCTCGATCAACTGCGTTTATGCAGTCCACCACTAACCTCCCCACAAACCCTTGGCCAGTACTACCGTCGCTTCGGCCCGCCTCAGGGTTGCACTACAAGGAGTCATTGAGACTCTCCATGAGAAGGATAATCTGTTGAATCAGCGAAGCGGCGTGAGACGGTGCTGGATCGTGCAAGTGCTGAGGAGGTGATGCTTGATCTCAAACGTAATTCATCTTTCTTTGTGACCATGCTCCTCGCATTGTTGATTTCACAACTATGTATACCAACCTCCCTCATGACTGCATTTGTCATAATGTATCAAAAGCGGTTGAGGAAGCCTATACATATGCCTTACAAGAGCACACATAGGGCCGCACACATCCTCCTACCCTTAACATGATTGTTAAAGAGGCTCGTCAAGGGGAGTGGACGGTTCATACGGGACCAAACACCTTGACCGTTTCCCAAATTCATGAACATCTCCATTTCATTGTTACAAACATGTATCTTTATGCAGTGGACGGCACCTTGCGGCATCGGCGGATTTGCATCCCGATGGGGACTAGTTCTGGTCTGGAGATAACTAATTTGACGTTGTATTGGGTTGAGGCTCGCTTTGTTGATGACCTCCAGCGGCGTGATCTTCACGTAGCTCAACGGTATGCGTTCACATACCGCTTGATCCATGATGTTCTCTCATGGGGACATCTGCCACCACCGTCAAAGCACTATGGCCTCGAATGGAAGGAGACCACAGCGCCTGATGGCTCTTGCACATTCTTGGGTGCACACCTCCAAGTCCGCCCTGACGGTTCCCTGCGTACGAGTGTTTTTGACAAAGCAGCTGAATGGAATTTCCCTATTATTCGTTATGCTAGTGCTACGTCCAACGTCCCTACACACCAGCTGGTGGGAGTGTTTACATGCCAGCTTACTAGGTTTGAGTATATCTGCAACAACTGGTATGATTTCAAAACTGCAGCAGCGATGCTCACATGCCACATGCTTTTTCGTGGGCTCTCTCCAACAACGCTTGCGAAAGGATGGACTTCCTATATTCGTAAACGTCAACACAGGTACCCTGCACATGTGACCCGCCTCTCCAGCTGGTTCTGCAACATGCTTCGATGGTCTATTCACCACCCGCTTTCTCGGGTATCCACACACTGTCCTCGGACTACGCCTGTCACAACCCCTTCTTCATTACCGGCGCCTGTCACACCTATCACATCCTCTTCTTCATTACCTTCGTTTGTCGCACCTGCGTCCTCATCAGTCTTTGTAACCTCTTGCATGCCATTTGTGACCTTGGCTGCCCCTTTTCGGTTCGCAGCCTTTTCCTGATCGGCCTTGGTTGCTTCTATGATTGATTCCACAGGAGCAACTCGACCCGCAGCTGCTGTGTCGCCCTTGGTCTCGGTGTGTTCCTCCATGGCATTGGTGGCCATGCCTGCATTACCGCCTGCAGAGTCCCCTCTTCGGGTCTCACCTACGACTGCCCCCCCGGTCTCTGCGTCAGCCACTTCACCACCCATTACTTCATCACCCCCGTCGTCACCGCCTTTATTTCCCCTGGTTTTATCTGTCTGTTACCCACCTTCTGACTACTCTACCACCTCTATCCTCACCACTCCTACCTCCCCTGGTTTTGTCTCCATTCGTTACCCCTCTTCCTAATCCACAAACCACTTCGTCCACACAGACTTCGTTATCCTGTTCTGCCCCTCCAGAAAGCCTACTTCGCCGTCCTAGATGCTGGCTTACTCCCCCCTTTCCTCCATCTCTCTTCTTGGACGAAGGAGGACCCGTTCATTCTCCCCACCATGGCCCTCCCCAACATCCTGTCCCCGTCTTTTGCCGCCCCAAGCATCCGTACCATGCTTGCGACGCTCTTCGACTGCAGACCTTTCGGCAGCGCGACAAACACAAAATAGGAGGGATGATAGTGGGGGACCATCCAAGGATGAACTTAGGAAGGGTACTGTAGGAGATTCTGTAGAAAATCCGCCTGACCGGCCTCCACCAAATTTGTGTGGCCTTGCTGCTACTAACATCTGCCTACAAGCCTATCGTCGGGAACCTTATACTCACTATGATTTATTGGCCATTGCTTCTGATCTTGATGCTCAGGAACGTGAGTTATATGGTGATAACCCAACTCTACATCCCCCACAGGATAGTAATTACACTCGACATGGGGGATTCAATGTCTCTGTTTGGAGACTGCTTTGATATGGCGCCGGCTTGATGTGCAGCGTGCCCCTTCGGGTGGTGACCCGGACCACTGTTTGCACGTTTGTGCCTTTATTCTACATACTCCTGGCCACTACACTGCTCTTGTCCGTGCCTCTAGTTCTTGGGAATTATGGAATGGCGGTGCTATGGTGCAAACTATTACTGCCATCTGTGATCTCATGTATATAAATTATGTCATGTTTCTCTTGTAGTTTTCCGTGAATTAGCATTCAGAGGTGCTTTATATGGCATAAATAAGTCTAGTTGGTAGTTGTTCATATATGCATCTGTTATTTATCTTAAATGAAAATGACAAAAAAAAAAAACTCAGAAAACCAAAAAGTCTGTGATTCTTTTCAACCAATGGGATTTGTGAATTTGAAGGGTTTGTGAGATTACCCGGATCTTAAATCATCCTACGGGTTATCGGTTCAAGTCCGATAGTGAGCATACTCGCTTGGTGGAAATGGTAAACAAGACAGACTAAAACACTTCGGTTCGAGCGAAACGTGGAATAGTCCCCATGGATCATGCTGACATATTAAGATTTTACAATCAGAGAATACTCGGAATCCTGAATTACTATTCTTTCGTGGACAATCGATCATAGTTATGTTCGATAGTTCACTTAATGAAGGAATCTTGTGCATTGACCTACCCTAACGTGCAACTGTTCCAGGTTATTGACCCTATGGGTACCTCGTGTACTTCCATTCCCGCCTCTAAGCCTATCTCTGTGCCTGCCTCGGCACCTGGCTCTGTGCCTGTTTCTGTGTCTGTCTCCTTCCAGGTTACTGAGCCTATGGGTACCTCGTGTACTTCCGTCCCCTCCTCTGCACCTGTCTCTGTGCCTGCCTCCGCACCTGTCTCCATGCCCGTTTCTGTGTCTCCGTGTGTACCGCCATGTCTGTCACCGTGCCTGCTTTAGTGTTCATTCCCCCACATGCTGCAGTAACACCTTGTGACATCCTTCTTTGTGAGATCACTGACACAGTTACACTTGGTTGTGGAAAGCATCGACTTTGTCGACATCACTACAACCATATAATTTTTTGGGCCTGCTGTCGACAGGGATGCCACCTGTATCCAGATTGTGAACATCCTCTGCATCCAGATGCAGTATGTATCATCTGTGCCTACGGGCGCTATAGCGAATGTGAACTTAACTGTGATGGTGAACGCCCCACGATCGTCATGGCCTGCAACCGGCATGTCCTCTGCTGTGCATGCTTCAGAGGTATGGTTGATGCTAGCCTTCCGGGCTCCTGCTGTGACGAAGTTGCTTACCTGAATGGTTTTCGTCCTATAGATCAGCGGGAGGGCTGCTACCATCACCCACATCCTTATGATAGTTGTCCTATCTGTCGTGAGGGTCTTACTTAGACGGACCTTGCACCCTGACAAAAATGTGCAGGTGCACTGAAAAGAGTGTACAAGAATGTGCAAAGATGGGAAACCCTTCACGTGTGGAGACACTAAAACTGCAAAACAGTGAAGAATGCAGTAAAGTGTCATTTTACTTTGTTTGTACCCTGCACCCTAACACCCTCAAAGAAAAAGTCCGAAGGGTGAAAATGAGAATACAAAGGAAGAAGGAAGTGCAGGTGCGCTGAAAAGCGAACGATTCTTCACCAGAACTGCAAAACTGTGAAAGAAAGAAGAATGCAGTAAAAGAAAGAAGATGTTTGTGTCACCCCTTTTTTTTTTTTTTCCCTCCCTCTGCCTATCGATTTTCCTTTTCTGCTCCTCTCTTCCTTGCCTGACTGTCCTTTCATTTTTCTTTTCTTCGCTCATCTTATTTCTTCTTCTACTTCACGTGCTTACGCTCTTAGTCAGTAGTTCTGTGACAAAATATATCTGTTTGACGATATATATGCAGCGTACAAGTGGGCTGTTGTGGCACACGGGGATGGGGGCAGCTCGCGCTCAACTTCATCAACGTGGCGAGCCTTGTACGTGAGAGTCACGGTGAAGGGGGAGTCGAAAGAAGAATGAGAAAAATGAATGGTTTCAGTGGCCTTTATGTTTGTCTTGTTTTTTTTATTTTTTTATTTTTGCCGTTTCTTTCACAAAGTGCGCTCTTTTAGTTCAGTCTGTAGAGTTTTCCATCTGGTGTGGGTGAGTGATAGTCGACTTTGATTTTGGTTAAGGTAGATTATCATTTACAGTGTAATCAATGAGGGGATTCTGCAGACTGTTGAGGGTTCAGCCTCCTGATGAGTCGGTGAAACTCCGACGAAACAGTTTGTCACAGCCCCTCGTTTGTTGTCCTCTTCTCTCTCTCTGCCTACGGTTTACCGGGCAGTTCTGTTTGTGACGATATATATATTCAAACAGAGCTGCCCGGTAAACTGTAGGCAGATGGGGAGAAGAGGACAACAAACGAGAGGCTATTCAGCCTCCTGATGAGTCAGTGAAACTCCAACGAAACCGTTTGTCACAGCCCCTCGTTTCTTGTCCTCTTCTCCCTCTCTGCCTACGTTTTGCCGGGCAGCTCTGTTTGACTATATATTGTCAAACAGAGCTGCCTGGTAAATCGTAGGCAGAGAGGGAGAAGAGAACAATTTTTCAGAAGGCTTGCAATATATTACCAACATAGAGCGAGCCTGGGAAAACATCATCATGACAACCCGGAGCTGAAAAACTGGCGCCCCTGCCCAGCTTTGGCTTGTGCTGGAAACCGGGTCCAGCGTCCCTTGAAAGCAGGGACGTTCCTGAAAGAATAAACTACTGGACGAATCAACTTAAACAGCGAACAATGTCGGATTTAAGAGTAAGAGACGGGTAATAACAAGGGGGGTCTGAAGCAGTATCTGGCATCTTGCTGACTGCAAGAAGAACAGCCGAGAGTCTAGCCTACCATTCCCTGCAGTTGAGATTTGCACATCATCCAATTCGTCCCACAGATGCTTCGAAACTGTCGTCTTCAACCAAATAGAACGACCGGTCATTATCGCTGCATCAAAACCGAAAGTTGTGCCAAATACAGCCATAATGACTGGGCGTTCTATTCGGGTGAAGACGGTAGGAGGTGACCCTGGTCTGAAAGGTAGCACCATTTAAAGGAGGCACACGATTGACTGCGGAATCTTTTCCTGGCTATGTGGGGAAGCATCTTCGTCGTGGTTCTCGCTTTCCTCCTCCATACAGCCAAGATAAGCTTTCAAAGCGCAAACTTGAATTTGTTCCTGATTGCTGAATTTGCAGACCAATTTTTTTTATCTTTGAATCTCTTCTATCCCTCCTAGCCATCCATAAAATCCAGAAACCCAGTAGTCTAAATTTGGCGGCTATCACTAAACTGTGGTTTTCTGTGTCACAACCGAACAGGATGAAATTCTTCGTCCACGCTAACTCTGGGCCATAAGTCGGAAAGCACAGGTGGCGGAACCGTTCCCAAAAACCTCTGGCCACGACACGCTGCCACCAGAGCTGAGTGGAAACATCTAGAGACTTGTGTGGATAAACGTCAAAATCGGATTCACGACCATACCTTTCTCTGCACACCATTTTGTGGTAGGTACGCTGGAGTGCATGTGGAGCCATGGAAGGCCGCCGATTTATACTTCAAGGATCCCGAGGAGCATACTGATGAAGAAGGTTACCCAAGTAGTAGGGACGGGTTCCTCAATCAGTTATAGTCTCTGCTTTCTTTTCTCCACGTGTTCGAGATGTTCGCCTGAAGGGTGGAGGCTTTGGAACGGAGCCGCATAGCCCAGCTTGGGTCGGCAATCTGTAATTGGAACCCGATCGGGACGTGCCGCGTGATCTGAGAGGGACCCAGCCAGTCCTTTGAATATCGCATAGCCCAGCTTGGGACGTGCCGCGTGATCTGAGAGGGACCCAGCCAGTCCGTTGAATATCGCATAGCCCAGCTTGGCTTGGTAATCTGTATTTGGAACCCGATCCGGACGTGCCGCGTGATCTGAGAGGGATGCAGCCAGTCCGTTGAATATCCACGCGCAATTCTTTTTGCAGGGGGTACCCTCCATTACTACCGTCTTCACCCGAATAGAACGCCCGGTCATTATGGCTGCATCTAGACTGAAAGTTGCCCCAAATACGGCAATAATGACCGGGCGTTCTATTCTGGTGAAGACGGTAGTGAGAACCGCCGTTTGCCCTTAAGAGGCAGAGAAGTGGCTTTTTTTTACTCCCAGCCATTCGTCATCCGGTGTCGTTGACTCAGGGGGTACCTTGCTGGTCAGGTATTTCCCCCCCCCTTGCGCCATCTTGAAACGCTTACCTGATTCCCCCTAATCCCACCCACTCTCACGGGATTCGATCCGCAGGAAGAACTTCCTTTGCTGATGGAGTCCGTGTCCACCATGACCCCGGTTGCCCTGCAGGTTTCTTGGATCTTAAGCCCTTGGTCCATTCCACAGGAACAGGAACAGGAACAGGAATTGCTTGGATCCAGCTGTTCCAAACTTCCTGTGTTCTTCGACTCCCCTTAGCTCTCTGCGCTTGACCATTCCGTTCTTTCATCTTCAGTTCGTCCAACGAACGCCAATCGCTTGTTACTTCGTCCCTTGGGTGTACCACCACCTACCATATCCCCCGTCGTAGTGTAGCGTAGCCATTTCCTGGCGAAGTTGCAAGGCGCTGTCTTGAGACTGAGAAGGTGTTACCTGGCGAAGTTGTTAATGTTGGCCACTAGCCCGCTCGAGCCTGTTGTTGCTCAGTATACATACACTAGTAGCACTCTATGTAYCTCTRCATAGCACGGACTCTACCTTCAACTTGTTTCAAGGCGACTATACTAACCGCCTGAAGTTGTTTCACATATAGTCTCTGAGGATCCTACACAGACATATGTTGGTTTCCTGCGGATTATGTGCATTACATTTCAGTAATGGATCAGATATTGAAGGATTGACAGGATTGTTAAATAGGCAGGGGGACCAAGGTGGTCAGTATTGCTCTGCTATCCTCTGGGACTGAGAGAGTGTAGGGAAGCACTCGGCTCGAAGCTTTCAGAATCGGTGCCCATGTTCGGCAGCGGACTTCAGAAATCATAGGGTGGAGTAGCAGGGATTGCCAAACTGCTGTGGGTAGGATCTGAGCGATCCGATTTGACGGCTCACAGTATCTGGGCCAATATAATCCAGGGTTGGGGCGAGTTAGCATTAGTAAATGCACCGGCCATTTGGCGAACAGGGCATTTTACTTCTTTTTTTTGCTTTCCAATCTTTGCTATAACGTTCCAGTTGTCCTTCTGGACATCCATGAAAATTGGAACGATACAGAGAAGGGTAAATTAGCAAATGGCCCCTGCGCAAATATGACACACATAAATTGAGAAATGGTCCAAATTAAAAGGGGGAAAAAAAAATCGTTCCAAATTTCCCACACATGAAACCCCGACCAGGGCTTGTTGTCCCCGAATGTATCCAACCTGCCTTCTGGGTCAGATACAGTCATGGCGACGGTGGAAATGTTCCATTGATTCCTGAAACCACTCAACCTCTTCTGCCTGTATCGGACCTGAAAAGCAGCTTCAAACATTCCTGGACACACCCAACGAAATCGTGAACTACAAACTCCGACAAAGGACACCTCGAGTCCACGAATGTGTCTTAGGTTCTTTCAGGTCCGATGCACTCATGGTGAGGGTGGAGCTTATCTTTTGTTTCGCGACAACATGCACCCTCATCATGATGACTGTATCGGGACTGAAAGGCAGCTAATAATATATATTCGGGGACTTTAGGTGCCCTCTTCGAGATCGTGGGTGTGTGGTGTTGTCGAGTTTCAAGGCCGTTGAGCTTCTCTCTCTCTCTCTCTCTCTCTCTCTCTCTCTCTCTCTCTCTCTCTCTCTCTCTCTCTCTCTCTCTCTCTCTC